TATGCAATATGTTGTAGAATTTCATCAAAAATTTATTTTAAAAAATAGTATTTTGAATAGTATTTTTATTAGAATAGTATTTTAGTATTTTAAAAATAGAATTTTTTTTTTTTTTTTACTAAAATCTTTTATATAAAAAAAATTATTATATACGAGCAAAAAATAATAATGAAAGATATATTAAATTTATATTAATAATTAGTTTTAAAATTTAATATCTTCCTAAGTAATCATCATTTCATTAAGTATGTTAAATCTTATTTTCTTCATTAAAATCTTAATTAAAATCTCAAGCATAATACATAACATTTCTTTTCTCTATATCATCTTAGCTATAATTATATATTTTTACTCACATTCAAGTCTTAAGTTATCGATCTATTATGTAATGATACAATTTGCATAATTATCATCGATATATTATTCAAACAAAATGTTAAAGCAAGTTGCGTCGATATAAATAATTTATTCAATTCTTTCTCTTGTTATCACTATATTACTTTACGTTAACGTAATGGTTGATGATATTAACATAGTTTTCAGGCTGGGATAAATGTTTGTATGTGAAGATTAATTAAATACATGGGTTAATTAATGGTTTTTAATTAATTAAAAATAAAAATTAATCGAAATTAATATCTGGTGAGCATTGATTCGTTGTAGACAAATAAATAAAAATAAGAAAATATTGCAATATTTTCGACTAATGGACATTTTTATTTCAATAATCAATTAAATATCTCATTATATTAAAGTCTCAACTTATTTTCAATTTTAATTTCAAATAAATATTTTTTTTATTTATTTTTATAAATTGCATGTTATATACATTGTTTATCTTTGTAATTAAATAATTATATTTTGATTAATTACATGGAAATTATTGATTAATGAAGTTTTTAATCTAATCATAATTTTTTGAAATTTTTATGGCTCAAGGAGTCAAGGACTTGTACATTTCCTAACTTTATCGGATTAGTCGTAGTCTAATTCCATACATGACTCCCAATAACCCATGACCTTTCCTTATCAGCTGCGATTAATAGTAATTAACAATAGAAGTGAATTTCATCATAATTGAAACAATCGTATTGAAATAATATATTACTTTTTGTCACATATGATAAGGTCTGTTCAATATAAATTTTCTATAATCGGTCTCAACACGGATTAAAAATAATATTTTATCAATGTTAATGACTGAGAAATAATACATCTTATCTATCTTTTACAGTGGTTCTTCGCTTACTTCAATAATTTATATGAAATCATGGATTTTAAAAAAAAATTTGTTAATAAACAATATACTTTATTTGAAATTAGAGAAATGCGATTAAAGTATCATATATGTATATTGCATTTTAGATCAAATGCATTACAGTATATATTTAATTTAATAATGTCTACACACGAATTTTTCAAATTTTATGAAATTAAATATTAAATAAACAGAACAGAAACAAAAAAAATTTAAATATAGATCAGGTTATCTTTCAATTTAGCAGAGAGTTATTTTAAACAATCGTCAATTGATGATGTCATAAGTTAATCCCTTTTGTAGATACACAAATATCTAGCATGAGTCTTGTACACATTTTTCTAGAGAATTAGAAGTTACAAAGACGGTGTTATTTACACATGATGCGTTTCCCATGTATCATAGATAAAGCAATTTCAAAGAGTCAATAGAATTTTTTCCTTTCTTTCAATATGTATTAGATAGGATTTATGCAAGTTATTCATTCGTTCCCAACAAATCATGGTAAAGTCGTATATCATAGAAATCAGACAATTGGCTTTGCTCCAAGGGCGTAACGCATCTAGGTGTGTGTAACGTTTTGAAGATGCGCCACGCTAATTTTAATCACAGTACTGTCCAAAATAGCACGACGACTGCGCACATTTCCTTCTCAAGTCACGAAACGTGAACATGCTTATTCATTACAAAACCATTCGTCCAAATTTGCTAATGATTTACTTTTGACCTTTTAAGTGTTGTTTAATTAAGCATTCCAAATTACTATATATACGCAATATTGATAATCGAAATCTAAGTCAAATTAAAAAATTATTTGGATTAGATTAAAAAACTATTTAGCATTATTATCTTGATCGCGTAATATCTTAAAATGATTCATCATAACTTATTATAAAATTCCAACAAAAAATTATCAAATATTATGATGATATAATACATTGTCTCGTGCGTGACTAAGATTAAGATTTAAATATATATTTTTTATCGTCATTATGATCTACAAAAATATATAGTTTTTTTATTTTTTTATCAATTCAATATACAAGCTACTATTTTTTATATTTTTTCTCCTTGTATGATATTTCACGTTTGCGCGAAAATAAGAATTACTTTACGCAACTGTTACATCATATTGTTTCTTATGTATGATTCTACGCAGATTTAGACACGTGATAATTCTACGATCGTAAATATTATATTATTGACAAATCGATAATCAAACAAGAATGGTTTCATCAGCTTTTTCATCAAATAATAGGTCATTCACCTAATACGCTCTTTTATGGATTCTTTTCTTATTGGTTAAAAGAAATCACGTTACAAATTTGCGAGAATATTTATTTCTTGTATTTATCAATAACTTTTAAGAATAGCGGCGCCATGATATAAAAAAAAAAGCACAAGACAAGTTTATCAGTAAGAATGATGATTTTGTATTAAAAAATTAATATCAATATACATATTTCGATTTCCATATATGTTATGTCATGCAAATTAAAAAAACGCAGAATAGCCATTTTAATTATTTTTCTTAAAAGTGTGATAAAATTTATATATACATTATATATACATATTTATTTAATTCGAATGAAAATTCATTAAAATTCAAGTATGTTTTACATATATTAGATTGTTATTTCGAAGTACTTCAAGTTATTTAAATTTTTGAATATAAATCTTTTTTAATATAACGTAATACTTTATATAAAATTTAATACAAAATGATTATATATTTAATAATACTTAATAATGAGTTTTTATCTTATCGAAAGAACAAATTATATGATATATAATAATTTTAGACATGGAAAATTTCCTATCTAATATAAACCTAACTTAATCATGAACAACTCGTGAATCAAAATTTTTTTTTTCAAATCAATGCATTATCAACTGGGCAACAGTTATTTTGCAACAACTTGCAGAAATTGGACACGCAATAACAACTGGAAAATTTTATTATTTAAATATTGCAAATATATCTTTTTTTTCGATGAATTCGTAAAACTAAATAAGATAATCTTATATCAATATAAATAAAAGATATATATAAAGATCGATTTAATACAAGTATTGCAATTTTTTTGTACGTGACAGCAAGTTGAAAATATCATCATGGACCATATAATAAATGAGATAAGCATTTGCCACTTTTTCCTCTTCCTTTTTTTCAGATTATATAGCTTGACCCTGACACTTCGTTCGCATAATGATAAATAATGTTCAAGAGCAATTATTTTAACCTCGACCTTTTGTTTTTTATGAAGACTACTATATACTATTACATTTAATGCGATTTTTTTTTAATAAAACTATGAATTTTTTTTATAAAAAAAATAATGTAAAAAGAATAATAATTTCCTAAAACGATATTATTAGGAATTAAATTTATTTAAAAAGGAAAGAAGATATCTTCATTTTTTCTATAAGAATATAATAAAATTTTCTTATTGTTGTAAATCGTATTGATAGAGAAAATCTATTAAAAAAATAGAAATGATAAGTATCTCACAATAAATTAAAATATCTGAAATTCAAAATAATTCATGATATTGCTATAATATTTTTTAACTATATACGCGTACTTGCTTGGTTCCGGTCTGGTACATGTTGAGTCTGGTTCGCAAGCAAGTCTCGAGGGACAAGAGAAGAGACTATTGCCACATTTAAAGTCGTAATTCCACTCCAGGGTAACATGACCACACGCACCTATCCTGTCGCACAAGACACTTCACTGTGATAGAGTTGTACAAAATTTTCAGTCTGTACTATTCTTTGGAATAACAACGACTAAGCATTTTATCGTTTTATTAAAAATCAGTAATAAAAATAATAATCAATAATAAATAATACAACGTTATACTTGTCTCACGTAATCAAGAAGAATTTAATTAATTAGTAACGTAAGTTTGAAAAAACAATTATTATATATATTCTATTTTGCACGATAACTTTTTTTTTTTATTGAGAGAAACTTATTCACAAGTTGGTCAATAGATTGAGTTATTACAAAAGCAGATAAAATTTTATTGAGATAGATGGATATGTAATTAGTTCTCTTTCTTCTTCTCTTCACGGTTCAGTTTATATATATCTCCTAATATTTATCGAATCCCAGTAATTTCGGATTTAATCATATCGTGGCCCAGAATGATTCACGTGATCTAACGACACGATCTTGTAATATTGTTGACGAAATTTTTGGCAGTGATCGACGCATGTTCCTCACTATAAAGATTTGACGCTTAAATCATTTGTGCAATGCGAATTCCTATTTCCTCATAGCAATTCTTAAAAGGTCTTTGCGATATGAAATTGAATTCTTTTGTCCAATTCGTAAACAAAAAACATTCTGACAAATGATTTTAATAATTTGAACAATTATATAATTTTTTATATATAATAATTAATTATATAATTTGTTTAGATATTGTATTTAAAAAATTCATATTAATATTAATATATTTTATATAAAGATTTTATTACAAGAAAGATCAATGTTAAAAATAGAATACAATTTATATTTATATTATTTTTATATTATTTCATTTTTATTAATTAAAAGAAAGATATTTTTATTTTATTTAAATAAAATAAGAATTTCGTGAATTCTAATGTATAAATTTAAAAAATTAGAATATATTTACATTTTACGTCGTAAAAATGTTAATAATAAAATTTAATATTAAATCAAATGAAAATAATATTTTAAAATTAAAAAAAAATTTTTTTTCAGATCTAAATGTGTTCTATAGCGATACCAGCTGAATTGCTTCTGGGGCATAGTCCTCCAGTGTATAGTTCGCTGCTATACAGTCCCTTGGTGGTAACGGCACCGACGATTACTAGCAGGTCGGTACCACCCAGAATAAGGCCATGCCTGTCATCTGGTTCCTTGGCCATAAACAGCATTCGAAACAGTAATGATGGCAGTAATAAACAAAAGAAAAAAGTAGTGTTTGCCGATGATCGTGGCCGTCCTCTTACTCAGGTATTCTTAATTTCATTTTTGTGTGAAAGAAAATAAAATGACTCTACTTGTGATAGAGATTTTGAATTTTCTGTTTGTATTTAAATTTTTTTATGATTTATATAATTTAATCTTATAATATATTATTATTTTTAAATTTTACAATTATTAAATTGTTATAAATTAAATTGTTTTCTATTTTATGTTACAATTTTTTTGAGTTTCTTTATAATTATTTAAATGAAATTGTCGTTTTATTTTTTTCAGTTTTATTATGATTTTTTTTTTTACTCAAATAACATTATTCATATATAATAATGAATTTTGTAATCAACAAATTAATATAAAATAAGATATTTTATTGCCTTTCCTTTTTTCGTTTACAGGTACGTGTGATGTCGGAACCCAGTAATGTACCACCTTTGTGGAGCACAGCTTACCTGGCTGGATTAACAGGACGACTTTTAAATTCGAAAATTGAGAATGATCAATCTATAGAACTCGTGTCACCTTGGCAAGTAACTTTCCCTCAACCGGCGAGCGATTATTTAGCCTTCCGTCAGAAACTTGATCAGGAGAATGTCAGCTTGGAAAACGTGATAGTGAAAGAATCGGAACAGTGTCTAGTAGGTACCATCAAGGTACGTAATCTGGCGTATGACAAGGAAGTCGTGGTCAGGGTGAGCAACGATTCTTGGAAGACACACGAGGACGTTCATTGCACTTATGTTGAACTACCGGGTTCTCCGGCCCTGATTCTTTACGATACCTTCCGCTTTCGATTAACTCTACCATTGAAATCAAACGTGATAGAATTCTGTGTACGATATCGAACCGATGGAAAAGAATATTGGGACAACAACGAGGGAAAGAATTTTATCGTTCGAAAAAAGTTAGAGGTATTATATTTAACATTAATTTTCTATTATTTAAAAATCTATATATGATTTTTTTTCAGTGTTTTGTATGCCAGTTTGTAGTTTCTATCTCATATGTCTCGAGGCTATTGAGAAATATTTTATATTTTATTTTATACCTTGTCTTATATTTTTATTACATCTGTTATATCTTTCTACTCTACTGAGAAGATTGAGATCTTATCCTATCCTATTCTATTATTACTTTTCTTTTGTTTCTTTATTTCAATTTCATCTCAATCTTGTCGTTTATTTATACACGATATAATTGAATGTAATGATTTAAAATGTACACTTTTCATGTTGTAGCCACGAGCACCACCCAAACGGTACGATATTCTGACAACGTGCGATGGCTTTTCGAAGAATAATAACCGAGATAGTATACCACGAATCACAGATGCAACAAAAGCGAACGTACGCACGTGGAGCGAGTTCGCATCCTGGCAGCATCTTGCGAATGATGCTCCATACTGGTGAATCTTCGTCACTGGTCACAAACGATGTACGTATGTCGTACGAATTCTTCCAATCTATTTGATTTAAAGATCACAAGATGTAGACCATGCGGGACGAGGTGGCAATATATCTACGCAACGGCATGCATAAGATTGTCGTACGAAAACATCGTGTAATATTTACACGATAGCGTATATAAGTGTGGACATCAAGATCAAGAGAACGCAGAAAAGAGCAATGATAAAAGAAGGGAAGCGATGGACTGTGATTAAGTTCAAATTTATAAAAAGACATGCTTGAACGGAAGAAAAAGACAATAATCAGAAGTCGATAGCGCGGAACAGGCGAGAAAGGAGGCACTAGTCGCGTTACATTTATGGTAAGTTGATCTTGTACATATAATACTTATAAAACTTATTATACATATATAACAATCCTGAATTCACTCTAACGAGTTTTGCGTTTCATTAATCTTCTTATTTCGAGCGATATTTCTTATTAATAATCTTCAATAGGTAATGAAGATTAAAAATAGAATCAATTCCACAAACTTGGAATTTACTTATCATTACAGAGATATTGAAGATAGATATAAGAATAAATAAATTCATTAACAGTTTATTAATATTAGATAATAATGTAAAATTCATACAATATTATAACATAAATTTATAACATTGCTATATGTATTGGCTGTATAAATATTTTGAAAGAGCGTCCTTGTGCATGATTTCAAAAAGAATTGTAGGAAAGGTAAAGGACCGACAATGTCGCTAATGCCAATCAGCATAATCTTATGATTCGAGTCGTGAGTAACGTTGTCGTGAGTAAGTGGATTCTTTCTAAAGTTTAAATCGCCTTGAAAATTTGCGAAAAATAACCATGTCACAACATATATCTTTTCTCCATCCTCATACGCACGTTTAAACTTTCTCTCTATAAATAACAATCTGGCGTGGTGCGACGATAACAACCGCGACCAACGAGTCGCCTGACTCTAATCGCCTTAACTAAAGGTTGTTACCGCGCCTGACAAGATATATTTGTTTCTTCATCTTCGTTTCTTTTTCACTCCTTTTCATTCGTTATGCTAGTTTCACAATCGGATCAAATTTTTATACAAGGAAACTGTATTAGAAAATTTATTTTAATTTTTGCAATTTTAATTTAGAAGGAACATAAATTATTATTTGTTAAAAGCAAAAAACAAGATTGCAATATTATATTTCAATCACTTTATATACTAAATTATAAATATCTTTATAGGTCGATATTTTATGTATGTATATTTGAATACATATATTTTTTAAAAAAAGAATTTAGAATTTACCTCTTAGTACAATGATTTTAAATTGATTTTTGTGAGAGCACCTTTATGTCGCAAGTTCCACAAGCGGACACTTGCCTCTGTTGAGTGCGAATGAACTTCTTTCAGGTCACGCGAATTCAATTAAAAATATTATTATCAACAAATTTACCATACTTACATCGCAGTAATTTAAAAATATGATTATATTTGTTTCTTTCATCATAATCATATGATCAAATGTTACTTTGCTTTATTTTTATGCATTTACGGTTAAATGATATTGAAATTATAAAGTAAATATGATAAAGCAAACTTTTCAAGTTTATTTGATAATGCAGATTTCTTAAAAAAAATATTAATATTAATGTATTTTTTAATAATTTTTTATCTTAGAATCCTCTTTATATTTATATACATTTTTTAAATATCTTAAAAATAACGATATATAATTTTAGAATGACCTAAGTGATTTATAAATTGCAATGATTTCATGGCCAAAAGAATAAGTAACCGAAACCTTGGCCTACTGCCAGCAGACTGACAAATGTGAATTCATTCTACGTACATATTAGAATAAAGTAGTTTATACTTAACTACACTTCCTTGATTCATGCAAAGTTTTGAATTAGATTAAATATAAACATGAACAATATATGTACAATTTATATTGATTAGAAATTTGTAAAAAAAACTTATAAAATTTAAATAATTTACATGTATTAACTAGTTTATGTCGCAGTTAAATTGATCTATATCATCATGTCACAATTAATCGTTCGAAAGCTATGATTGATAACGTTGATAAATATAAAAATTCTTATCGTTTTGTGAACTAATTAAAATAGTTATAAATAAAATTAGTCCATGGATTAAAAAAAAAGACTATAAAAAAAATTAGTTCATAAGCAATCAAAAAGGTTCATAAGCAAAAACACAAGTTCCTTAAAATCAATTTTAATAACGATGAATCAGTAAAAATTTTCTTTCAACTTTGCAGTTTGAAAAAATTATTTTTTTAGATGTTAGATTACTCGTTATAATTTTTTAACAGTTAATTGAGTATTTAAGACATTTTAATATACATTTTTTAAGTATCAAAGACTTACATTTTATATATATATATATATATATATATATACAATATAAAGCGATCTTATATGTATAAAACCGGTATGTATGTCCAGTTAAGGCGTGGTTAAAAGGTGGTACAGGATCATATACATATATCGCCACATTGCATATAGTTATACCATAACACGTTTTGTAAACTTCATAAAAACTTTAAGACGTCTAGACGTGTGGGTTGGCTAGATAATCTTGACACTCTATATATCGGTCGAATTATTGTTCGTTATAATCATATTTTCAAAATTATGTATTTTTTATCTAATCGAAAATTAATTTTAACATAGAAAAGTATTTTATTTATGAAAGTTATTATCAATATTATTATTTATTATATATTATTGAATTATTATTAGATAAATAAAAATACTTGGATTAGATAATGATAATTATTGAATAAGTTATTTGAAAAATTACAAGCAATTAAGCATAATTTATGAATTTATTATTTATCGGTCAGAAATGATAAAAGTATGTCGATAAAAATATAATTTTATGATAATACCACTTAATTACATCATTGATTATTAATATGACTTTTATACACAGTAAACAAAATAAATAAAAATATTCGCATATATAGCATATAAAGTAAATAAAATATATAAATATATAGATTTAGAAAAATTCTAAAAATAAATTCGAATAAAAATATTAAATGTATATGTACATCAAAAAATGTATTTCTTATCAAATTTTTCGAATGAAAAATATTGTTAAAATAACATTTATCAAGTATCGTAGACTAACTATAGTGATAACCTTCACACTATTTGGCGTGTTAAACAATTCATTATAAAGCCCACAGTGACTACAGTTCTTATTTCTTTCGTTTCAGATTGCAACGTGCAGAACAGACATATATAGTGTATATGGAACACAGGAATAACCGTGTAAGAGAGACAATATGCAAACAAATATACTAAAGATCATGGATCTGGATTGGATGAATGTTTGTTCTGAAGCTTCTCCAAACTTTCTACCAATTTGGTCATCATACATCTTCTCGTTCATCGTCTTCCTTCTTTCCTCTTCCTCTTTTCTGGAACTTGGCTATCAATGGCTGAAGATGTCCATTAAGATAAATTTCCACCTTCGAATTGACCAAATCTCGCTGGTCTTGTCCGTTCCTCTTTTTCTTTTTTAATATTATCTTTTTTTTCGCATATCCTTTCTTCTTCTCTATTTCTCTGTACTTTTTTTTTTTTGTTTCTTTTTAAACGTACAAACTTGTGCAATTGTGTTAGTAGGATTTTTTTTAATGGGATGGGCCAAGGGATCTTATATATAATAAGTAACGCAAATTGGAACAAAGCTCAAAATAATCAATTACATGAAATGAAAGACAGAATTAAAAATGTGCCGAATGTGGTTTCGAATGGAATAATTATTACAATTTAATGTTGTAATGTAAAGTAACATAACATTTTTTGGATCGCTATTTTTTTTTTATTTTTTATTTTTTTTAGATGATTTTTTAGATTATTTTATATAAAAGTTTAGATGTCAATTAAAATGTTCCAATCGTAACCACTTAAAATAGAAAAATAACTATATGGAAAAATAATAATTTCTGCTAGTATAAAAAAGTTTCTAAGTTAACTCTAAGTTTTAAATTGTTATCATAACACATATAAGAACATATAATTATTGAAAAGAGAAAAAAGTCCGTTATTTCTTTGATTCAGAGAATAACTTTTTTTTTGTCTGACGGGTGCTAACTGTCTCTTTATCTGTATTTTATTTTTTTTTATTGGAACGATTTATAGTAATAATTGTATAAAGAGGCCAAAGTTACATAATATTATTCATACTAATATTATATATCGTAATAATATTATCCCGTATTGTTATCGTTCGATAAATCAATTACCTTATACCTTATAGAGTTATACATCTTATAACGTGTTGCGTCTTTTGCACGACAAATTATTCAAGAATTAACACGTCGATACTCACGTAAAATTTCTTGCAAAAAGTATTTTTAATCTCATGTACATTTTATACAATGTCACTGTATATACATATACATATATGGATCTATAGTATATGTATATATATTTATTTATTTATATATATATATATATTATTTTATCTTTGTATACACATGTCAGAGCGCTAACTATTTAATCGCATATTCTTGAATAAAAATAATATCACAATCAGATTTTATTTTTCGATCATGAATTCAAGAGGAAACTAAATTTAAAATTTTATTTCTTGATTTTATATACTATTTTACAAAAGCATGAATATTTTTATAATTAGAATCAAAAATAATTGACTATGTACATAGTATATGGAATACAACAAGTGATAGCAAGAAGAAAAGAATTCGTTTGGAAATAAGTAGACAGGCAATATTATTATATGTTCATGTTATATATGCCTTTCGATATTGAGAAAAACACATGTTCGAACAATTATTCTGCGTCGATGTTTCTTTATCAGACTTTTTGAACGAATTTTTTTTATGAACCTCATATACAACTATGAAATTCAATTCATACTCTTTTTTGCTTTCTTCTTTACTATTTTCCACAAAGTACAAATCAGACAGACTATATTATTATTACTATTATTATTACTAAGTAAATCATGATCGCATGATAAGGAATATATATATATGCATGCCAATGTAATTCGCACTACGTACGACTGGTTCGTGCATATTAAGAGGAAAAAAAATACGTATGTACAATCTTTAACATTTATGTCCCAACTATACATCCAAAGAGACAAATATTCAGGAAACGAGATTTTCTTTGTAGGGACGTCATGGCATAATGATAGTTAATGTGAGATGATCATGAAATCATAAAAAGAAGGACGGCATTGAGTTTGTAGAATAATAAGTGCAATTAGAAATTACGCAGATATATTTTTTTGATAGAAAAGAGAACCATTGGCGACTATCTGATCGCTCAAGTTCCAAGTTGTTATAATCCAGTTTGTCTATGATCATCTTTTTTTAGTCTGTCTTTTGCTGGGTATCGACGTCAACTTTCCTCCCTCGCAGAATCAAAGAGCTTCTTCCTTGATAGCACCTTTCACAATACAATGGAGTCAGAGTGTTTAATAGACATTATTACATGGGATCTTAACAATTGATTGTTATTCTTTGAATATATATTCTTCTGCTGTTTATTTCTTTTTTTAACGTTTCTAATCTTTTTTATCATTCTATGTATTCGGTGATATGACTGAGGTTTCGTCATTCATTTTCATTTTGAATATTTAATATATTTTAATTGTACTTGTTTAAGTTATTTATTCTTTTGCCTATATTTTTTTATACGGCATATAGAGAATTTTTATATTTATTCTTCATTTTAAAATTTAAAATTTTAATTTTGAATATGTATAAAATAATTTTTGGAAAAAAATTTTTTTTTTATAACAAATAGATTATAATATAGAAACATAATTAATAATTTATAGGAGGATAATCAAAAATTTTGGACTTTCTAAGCACTTTGATATAAAAAAGAAAATGGACAAGGAGAAAGTGTCTTTATTAAATAGTGTATGATTGTGTAGATCTAACTTGTGCCGAAAGTGTTCATCGATAAATCAATTTATTTTGTACTTAACTATTTAATCGATTACAAATTTATTCTGTTCGATATTACATTTTTTTATTTTTGTAAGTACATATCTTCGACAAATAAGTTACCAAGAAATAAAATTTAATAGGAAGATAAAGCACATCTTTCTTTTTATAATAAAAACAAAAACAAATCTTTTTGTAATTTTTAACAGTTTATTTATTTAAACGAGTTTTTCGTCACATTTATGTCATTAACTGAATATTTTGCTAATTCCAGTGAAACAAAGGAAAAACTAAGCACAATCTATTTATATATTATTGCTCTTCGCTGTACATATGATTTCTTTTTCATCGTAATGTATCTTCAAGAATTGGTCCCCCTAACTTATTGTACTATATCTTGTACTTGATTCATTCCAGATATTGTACAGAATTGATTGCTGATTAATAAAATTGACTCACGGAAGAATATTTCGAACGACTGAATATAAGAGTATAGAAGAAAGTAAAAAAAAAAAAAAAATCTCTTTAATATATTATATATAATATAATTATATTAATTTTACGCAGATATATTAAATGGGATTAATTTAAGCAAAATATAACATTCAACAATAATATTCTGCAAAGTGCAACTAGAGCTTTCCTAATTTTCTATATATATATATATTTATTGAACGACTATTATATTATATATGTATATAAATAGCAACAGATAAAATGTAACAAGTTCGACGAACCGAGATGATGCGCTAGTTTAATTCGCATCCGATAGAACTCGACTATTATGTTCTAACTAATTGCATAGCCAATGTGTATATTGCGTTCATGTTAAAAAAAAAAAAAATTAAAACTTCTTTCATGGAAGCATATTAGCAATTTTAGATTATTATACCAATTCTATTAAGAGATAACGTAAATATTTAAACAAATTATCTCTTATAGATCATTGAACGAATTCTATCATGTATCCAATCTTCAAATGCTTCTATAAAAGAATTGAAAACAATGTTATTCAAATAACGTAAATAAGCTTAAGAAATATTCATTGCTTAAGCTTCCACTTACGGCAAAAAATTAATATATTAATAAATGTATCCAATGGAGAATTTTATTTTAAAGCGTTGATGCATTCGAAGCCTCTCCGTTGTAAAAGCAAATATACAAATGTATACATGTTTATATACGCATCGAAGTGTTATTTAAGTAATTATCATATTATAATATAATTAATTTATATTAAGTATCGCGATACGTGATCATCTCAATTTGATTAAACTTGTACAAGACTTATTACAAAACTCATTCTATTTACTCTATCTTGAGATTAGTTATATAAATATATATACATATATATATATTTGTACTTTACAACAGAGATCATTAAAAAATGCATGCATATGAAACATAATATAAAAAAAAAGAAATGTACAATTTCCTCTTGAGAGCCGTAAGACTGATAACTTAACGCGGGTACATAGAGACTGTACATATTAATAATTCGTTGTATGACATAGGTCAGAGTTACGATAAAACTTATCTTGTGGATATTCAATATGCTACTTATAAAATGTATACATATAATGATGTTTCGTTTTATTTCTATGAACAAATAAATGATCGCATTAGGTTTTATCGAAATTCTCCTTTAATGCGATTCGGATTTAAGTTCACTTGTCAAATTTGCTTAAGCTTTGCGAGATTATAAAAAGTCCCTTTCTACATAGAAAAGATATGGGCATGATATAGTATGTAATGTATCGATATATCATCATTTTCTAATTTTATTTTACATCGTATTTGTTTTCTTTTTGTTTAGATAGTATGTACTTTTTTTTTCAATTTTAGTATCCACAACTCGAAATTAATTTAGATTTTTACTGTATATTATTATTATTATTATTATTATTATTATTATTATTATTATTATTATTATTATTATTATTATTATTGATTATTGATATTATTTCTATAAATAATTGATATCATGAATTGACTACACGAAATTAAATTTTTTATTAATAGCCTAAAATTTATACATATAATATCAAGTCCTGATTTGCTAACGTGTTATATATATGTTTAGAATATATTAAATAAAATAAGTGGGCATCGTTTATGTACCGTGGAATTCATTATTTTTATTTATGTATATTTAAGTAAAAAGAGAAATGTAATAAAATATATAAGCTAAACATATAAGCTTCGAAAATTGTTATTGAATGATTCATATTGGATGAAAATATACGTATAAAATTTACTATTACTGATCTTATTATTTTTTAAAATAATAATATATATTTATAATGAAAATTTAAAAAAGAAATAAATGCACAAATTAAAAATAAATTTTATCAAATAAATATGGCAACATTATCATTTATAATAAATAATATATAGATAAATCTATCAAATATTTTTATTCAATGTTACAGATATAGAATGACATTTTTTGCATGAATTATTGTTTCATCTGTCATTTTTTTTCTAAATATTATCCATTGATATTTTTTTTGCCATAGTTTTTTTAAATTTCATATAAATAAAATTTTAATAAAATAATTTAAAAGTGTATATGTATTATTATTTTATATATATAGAGTAAGTATTTTTTATTTATATTTTTTATTTTCTTTTCTTTTTTTTTAAATTTTTCTAATTTTCTTATTTCTACAAGTTTTTTGAAACATTTATATATAGATTCATTTGTGATTTTTTTCAAAGTATTTTTAAATATAAAATTGTCTTTTTTTCTTATAAAATATTAAGGAAATATATTTTTTCCGTTAGTCAAAAAAAAATAAATAAAAAAGTTAGCACCATCTTGTAGATGGATACTAGAAGCTTTGATTTATTAATAGAAACATAGAATAGGCATAACATTCTATTATAGACAAAGAAAGCAACATTGTGCGAAAAGGATAGAAAACATATACATTAATTTTTATTAATGTATATTAAAAACAGCTTCTAATATTTTCCATTATCGAAAACATAACACTAAAAATTAATTAATTGCTAGTTTCTTATAAAATTTACATCTCAAAGCTAGAATTTCAAACAACTTTCTAAATTTTAAAATTCTTTTTAAATAATAATTATTAATTAATGATTGGTGCATCACATCAAACTAATAATATCAATATGTAATTATGTTTTTTATTAATTTTTTATTATTATGAGATAATGAACAAAATATATTTTATATTTTTATATGTGATATTAAATTCTATATTTTTGTATTTTTATAAATCATATATATATTTCGTTTATATTTATATTTTAGATTATTTTAGATTATATTCTTTCAATAGTAAAAATTCCATAAAAAATTTCGGAATATTTTCATATAACGAAAAAATAATTTTATTCAAAAATTGTAATATTCTTGAAAGTATAAACAAGATCAAGAAAAAAAAGTTAATTTTTCTTTCTATGAATTTTTTGTTTATCTTATTATCTTGTATAATATTATATAATGTAAATCTATTATTGTAGTCTATATAAAATTAATTATTCAAGAAATAATTAAAAAAACATATATTATAATAATATATTATATTATTAAATTAATAAATAATATATTACATTTTATATTTTTCTCTATTTATTATTTATTATTTATTATTTTTTATTTTTTTTTAATATAATATATTTACATAATATAAACATTTTATATATAAAATATTATTATATTCTAATAATTATTAAACATCATTATATTAGAATAGATTGGAATATTGATAATACATTTTCCGCTATACGATTTCATGCAATAACGGGAAACTCCCAGTATGATTCAAAAATACGTATATAAATACATTTATCATCAAAATTAATGTAAAACTAATCATATTATTACCATCAATTATTTTCAATTATTTATTTTATATATATATCTCAATTCTCAATTTTTTTTATTCTATTTTAAATAATTTTATTGCAGAAATATTTTTAAAGGTTTTAAATTTTTAAGTCTAATTATTTCAGAAAAATCAAATAAAAAAACTTTTGACTCTTATGATTTACTTGAATAATGTATAATAATATAATATAATAAATATATATATACTTATATGTATATATATATTATATATATTTTTATACATATGCTTTTTTATATTTATGATAATACATTAATAAAAATTTATAATATTAATATAATCCAAATTATTTTTAAATTTTTCATTTATTTTTGTTGCAATCATTTTTAAATTGTTCTTAATTAAGTAATAAAGAAATGGTAAGATATTTATAAATATTTTCATTCATTCTGAAAAATAGAAAAGTATTCGAATATGAGCCATTATATATATCTATATTGTACTATTATAATATTTTGTGTTATTACGGTACTATTAATGATATCAAGATACTTGAATAATTTTCATTCAATCCATAATCCATATAATTAATTAATTTCTATTTTCTTAGAAATTCATTTCATTTTCAGGAAAAAAAGATTTATCACTTTTCCTACCAGTTACTATCTTGGAAGTAAGGGGGGGATATACAAAAGTGATGTGTAAAGAGAAATACGAAGCAGTTGAGAAACTTACGAAGTAGTGAAGGCATGTGTTGATTATCGTCATAATTTTTATTACCAATAACAATGTTGATTATAATGTTTTTATATTTTCTATGCAATCCGATTTTTTGCAATACACAGGACGAAGGTAAAAGAAGTAGTTTTTTAATAGACAATAAATAAAAAGATATAAAAATTAAAGATTATTATATACTAATACTAATATATACTAATATAATATTATATACTAATATAATAATTTAATGATATTTAATATGATATTTAAAATTATATTTATAAATGATTAGTTTTATTTTGTTGTTATCGAAAATATATTCTTGGAAAAATATTAATTTTTTATTTAATTTTTTATTGATTCAATAAAGTTTTATAAATACAGAATTCTAATATTCCGATACATATAAAAGAGGATTAGATATTAGTATTAAAACAAAATTTCGTTAAATGAATGTAATAACATTTATTTATAAATTATATTTTATATATTTTTTATATATTATATGTATATAAATGTATATAATTCAATACATAAAAATATATTTTTTTAAATAATTTTAGGAATCTTAATTGAGAAAAGTTTATAAGAGAAAATAAAAAATAAATACAATGAATTGCATCATAAAGTTAATTAAGATTTTTTATATACTCATTGTTAATGGATATTCATATATATATATATATAGTTCTTTATATTCATAATTCTTATCTAATATTTAATATCTTTTCCAGACGAGCCATGTATCACTAATAACAATTTGCCAGGTATTTGTAAACTTCTTCAACAATGTCCTTCAGTTTATGAAAATTTATTAAAAGGATTAAGTTCACATAAAATATGTGGATATCTTAATTTTGATCCTGTTGTATGCTGTCCAAACATAAAAAAAACATCTACAACTATAATTAGAACTACAACAACTAAAAAAACAACTGCAATTACAACTCTTCTACCATTTACTGAAAAGATGAAAACAAGAGAAAGTATGTATTTTATATATATATAATTTTTTAAATTCTAAATTCTTTCAAAAACTTTATGTTGTAATCCATTATAATAATAATTTTAGAATGTGAAGAATATAGTAGATACGTATACACGACCGAATATCCACCAACTTTAATAAACAATAAGAAACCTGTAAATAAATCTTTGTGTTACATTAAAGATCGTACACTTATCGTCGGTGGTACAAAAGCTGAAGCAAAAGAATTTCCGCATATGGCTGCAATTGGATTTGACACATTAGATGGCATTGTTTGGGCATGCGGCGGCACATTAATTTCAGAAAGATTCGTTTTAACCGCTGCACATTGTACTTTTAGCAGAAACTTGTATATATTTTGATTCTCATTTCAATATTATTATTCAAATTATTATTCAAATTATTATTATTATATAGTTGTTAGTTTTATAAATATTAATATTAACAGCAAAATTAGTAAATAATAATTATGTAATCGTTATATAAATATAATATATAAATTCAAGTATAACTTTTTATAGGAATAGCACTGCAAATTGGGTACGATTAGGTGATTTAAATCTCGAGAGATCGGATGATTATGCAAAACCAGAAAATTTTCGTGTTATTGAGCGAATAAGAAATCCTCATTATAAACCACCATCTCAATATCATGATATCGCGCTTCTTAAATTAGAAAGTGACGTGCAATTCAATGCGTGGATAAGACCCAGTTGTTTACCGTATTCTTTACCGGATAGTGGCCTTGATGGTAAGGCAACTGCAACAGGATGGGGAGATGTTGAATGGCGTAAGTACAATAATTTAAAAAAATCTTATTTATTTGACTAAAATAATATTCGATTTTAATTTAAATTTTTTTCAAGACGAAAGCGGTTCAAATGATTTATTAAAAGTCACAATTAGTTTGGTATCTCAACCAAAATGTAATAAGTTATTCATCGGAAATGAGAAAAACAATAAACTCAAATTCGGAATCACAGAAGATTCGCAAATCTGCGCCGGTGAACTTGGAAAAGATACTTGTCAGGTAATAATATTTTAAGAATAATATAATACATAGAAATATAAAATTTATATCTATTGTGATTATAGGGAGATAGTGGTGGACCACTTGTCATCTTAAATCGAGATTACGATTGTATGTATACTTTAATCGGTGTAACGAGTTTAGGGAAGCTTTGCGGTACCATTATTCCTGGTATATATACTCGCGTTTACAATTATATCTCATGGATAGAGAATATAGTTTGGCCAGATTTGTAATACAAATGTAAAATAAATACATTTTTATATTAAATTGTATTTATGTATTTTATTTTTTTATAAATTTACAAATACATTTATATAGAATACAGATATTTGTACATTTTATATAACCAAAATTATGCATATTAAATATATACACATAATATTTCAATGTAATTTATGATTATATTTTATTTCAATATTTTTTTTTTAAATTCTGTCTTTTTCGAAAAATAAAAATATTTTTAATATTCGTAGCTATAAAAATTACTAAAAATTATTATAGAATTTTTCATATATACTTTTTTCTGAAATGGATACATATTTAAAATTATGCAGTATACAGTTACTTGAATTTTTAATATTACAAATAATTTCTATTATTATACAATATTCTATTAATTCTATTATACAATAAAATACATCGTAATATAAAATTCAATTGATAATGAAGCAAATTGATAATGAATATTTTAATATTAACTATTAACTTATAAGAATATTGATACAAGAATAAAAAATTATATTATATATACATATATTTTTTAGATCTGTTCGTGCATAATTATCGTTAAATGAATCTTGTAAAAAGAAAATAAGATAACCTTGTCATATTTATTTTTTTCTACAATCAATCATTATTAAGGAAATATTGAAATTATAAAGAAAGATACTAAATCAATAATTAAAGAAACTACATAGCAATCAATAAAGATAGAAATGAATTTGAAACATTAAGCTATAATGTTATAATAATTAATATTATCAACGATATTGTTAATTTTGATCTTATTTTTTTTAACTGAATTTTGCTATAAAACAAATTAAAACAATTCTAATAATTCTTTCGTGTGATTGGTAAAGAAAAGATTTAAGAAAATATAACATTTAATATTTATTATTTATATATTTGAAATAAAAAAGATAAAAGATTCGAATAATGAAAATGATGTTAGTCTAATAATAAAAAAATAAATTTATCGTACTACAATAGAAGATAAATAAAATATCAATTTATATATATATATATATTTGTACTTTACAACAAAGATCATTAAACAATGCATGCATATGAAACATAATATAAAAAAAAGAAATGTACAATTTTCTCTTAAGACTGATAACTTAACGTGTGTACATAGAGACTGTACATATTAATAATTCGTTGTATGATATAAGTCAGAGTTACGATGAAAAACTTGATGCTATTACTATTACTACCACCACCATTATTACTTCTCCGATTCGAATCTGGGATGTCAAAGCAGCACAAAGTAGATATTTTATAATAAATATTATAGAAATTTGAAGATTGTGACATTTACTTGAGAATTATTTTTAAAAAAGAATTGTTTTTTTATCATTTTTTTATCTTATTCTATTTTATATCTTTCGTTAGCTAAGATCATTTTCTTTTTTATTTTAGAATTCAGTATTTAAAAAGAAAACATAATAATAGTTATTTTATTAATTATTAATTATTTAGAATATGAAGAAATTCGAAACAGTATTTCGAATTTATTATCAGTGATCGAATTTAAAATCAGTAATCGAAGAATTCACATTTATAACTGCAATTAGATTTCGCGGTTCTAAAGAAGGAGATATTGTCTGGCTATGCGGTGGTTTCCTAATTTCAAAATAAATTTTGTCACAACTGCAGCACACTGTATCTACAATCGTAACTATTAAAGATTTATCTAGCTATTTATATCAATATCAATTTATAATTTCATTATAGATATTAAAATATTGATCTCCAATTTTTAAAGATATCAGAAATAACATTTCTTTATTTTTAGTAATAGAATATGGTATTAAAGTTTGATCATTTATTTCTTTGATACATTAATTTATGATAAATATTAATTTCCTATATGTATTAATTTATCTCATTTATTTAATAATAAATAAGTATTAGATTAATATTTGTTGTATAATAAATTTGTATAATAAGTAGTATTCATATTTCTTTATAAAAATATTAATAAAAAATTAATAAAAATATTAATAAATGATAATTTATAAAAATTTTTTTTATATTAAATAAACTCGATAAATATGTTTGTTTCTCTAATGTATTTGAATGAACTTGCATAATATAATATGTCTAATTAAAAATAATTTTTTGCAGAAGAAATGCAATTTGGATACGATTAGATGATTTAAAGAGATCAGATAATGATAAGATGCAGTTAATTTTCGAATTATTGACAGAATAAGATCTCACCATCTGAGTCACAACATCGTGCTCCTTAAACTAGAACAAAATAATATAATATATAATATTTAATCAGAAAATCTTGTTGTTTACACATTCCTTATCAGATATTAATGATAAAGCTATGCAATGGGATAAGGATGAATCGAATAGAGTAAATTTATAATAAAAAATTTCATTAATATTAAAATAATCGAATTAATATTAAAATAATTTTTAATTAATTTTTTTTAGATGAAGATCAAGTGATTTATTAAAAGTCATATTGGATTTGATATCCCATTTGAAATGTAATCATATATTCACTAATAGCGAAAAAGACAATAGACTCGAGTTTGGAATTGTGAATAATTGGCAAATTTATACTGGTGGACTTAGAAAAGATACTTGTCAAATATATTATATTTTGAAAATAATATAGAAGAAGTATTAATTAATATTAAATTTATTATATATATAGGGTGATAGTGGAGAATTTCTAGTTATCTTAAATGAAATAATATGTACAATTTAATCGGTATAACTAATTTAGAGAAAATTTGTGGTAACATTATTCCTGGTATATATGTTCATGTTTACTATTATATTCCATGTATAGAAGATATAATTTGGCCGGGCTGTCTAAAAACTAAAAAAAACATAATTTTATGCTCAATTTTTTTTAAAAATATCATTTATTGTTTGTATTAGATTGTAAAAAATTAGATAGATTGTAACGAGAATTTTTAATAAATACATTTTAAAATTTACTGAATATTTGATTTTTATTAATTTTGATATAAGTATTTAAGGCAAAAGTTTTGGATAATATTTTGCATCGATGCGAAAAGACGCGCAAGCGCCAGTTGATAGAGTTTACTTAGTTTTCGTTACACTGTGTACGTGTGCAGTTAAAAATCAAGTGATCATCTATTTTCATTTGTCTAGAAGCAATTGTTCTCGAGGTAAGAATCGTTTCATAGATTGATTGTTTTATATAATGCAAAAGTGCACAAAATGAATAATGAAAAATCCAACATACAATATAAATATATTACTAAAATTAAAAACTAATTGTTCTTGTACTTAACTTATAACTTGAATATAAATAGCATCAATATTATCAATTTAAGAAAAAAATATTCATTAGTTAAAAATTCATATGATTTTACATTATTGACACTTGCACAGTGATTCAATGTCTGCCATTCTCGACGCATGTGGAAATGATACTGGATCACCCTCAATATCAAAAGCTGAGGATAATTTATCCAATAGCGACGGACCGTTAATTAAAGGCTGTATTCGTCAAAATAGTTGCAGTAGTGTTCATATAAGGTGTAATAAAAATTTCATATTAATAATCGAATCTGTAATATTTATTATAATAACAATCATTATTTTAGTTGCGAGAACGTTAATCGAACAATTGTATCATCTCACATCATGTCAGCATCTAACAAAAAATTAGCTAAAAGACGCTATTGTCTATGGACCTTAACTTTTATTCTAGCAATAATTGGATTATGCAATCTCTTCCTCAATATTACCGTGATTGCTGTTTTGCGAATCAATCAAGGGATGGAAGCGATGGAAATGATACCCGATGAAAATCTTGTAAAATTTTATGGAAAAACTGACTTAGATAAGGTCAGATATTAAAATATTTTAGAAATATTTTTATATAATTATATAGATAATATATTCATATATATAGATATGCTTGCAATCAGGAGTTTGTCAAAGTTACGGAGATGAACCAATGGAAATCTCTGGTGACGAAGCAGGTGTACAAATAGATATAAATAATCAACGATCATACGAAGAAACACGCGCTAAAATGATGATTTTATCAAATGGTACCACTATATCAAAAATAGAATCTTTCGAAGTAAAAGATTTTAAAACTGGGATTATTTACTTTACTACTGATTTTCCAAATTTCGGTTTGCCTGTTGGGGTGGAAAAAATTGATGTGAAAATTGCAGAAACGCATAGAATCACATCACCAGTTAATGAAAGTCTCATTGTAAACTCCGACGATCAAATTTCTATGCAAGGAGCAGAAGGTGCCAGTATAGAAAGCAAAAATATCATCTGGAGTGCAGATACAGATATTTTTTTAAAAAGTGTTAATGGAAGCATTATCCTTGATGCTAAAGACGGTGTTTCTATTGATACAAAAAATATACCAATAACACCATTGTTTTTACAAAATCCATCTGGTCATGAACAATATAAAGTTTGCATTTGTATGCCACAAGGAAAACTCTTCAAAGTACCGATTCGTGCTGGCGCTAACAGTCGATCAATAAACTGTGCTCGCATCAATCGAACTCCAGAAAATGATCCTTGCTTGCGATAGAATCAAACATGTATTTGAATTTTTCATTCAATTTTATTAAAATATTTAATACTGCCAAGTACAGAAATCTTGATTTGACACTCGATTTACGATTTGAATAATCAAATATTAGCAAAATATTTTAAATCTTTAATTAATAAAATATGTATTTTTCCGGAAATTTGGAAAATAATATAGAATTGAATTATATATTTTACCACTAATATATACATATAATTCAGACTTTATTCGAGATATTACGTACAAATTCACACATAATATCATTATGTAAAAACATTGACATTAGTTAATATATTATTGCTAATAAAAAATCATACATTTTTGAAATTTGTGTATAATACTAAATACATCAATTTTTGTATCAGATACTCAAGATTATCAATAAAATTATAGAAAATAGTACAAAATTCTCGACGTTTCATAGGACTATGAATGAAAACATAATTATGTTGAATAAAAAAAGTTAAGCACTTTCTGTTATCATTTCTTCATTGCTTTCTTCCATATCTTCTTGTTGTTCTTGTTCTGTAGGAGGTTCGTATACCTTGTCTAAAGGACTAGCAACAACACCACCTGCCCACACACTCATTTCTACAGCAAGTTTATTAGTACCCTCAAGTAATGGTCTATAGCCTCCATGACCCAAGACACGTAATAATGTTTGAGCTGTGAGACATACCAAATCTTGTTGTTCTAATGTCATGGCTGTGTGTACACGTATATTGCCACCCTCGCATGGATCAGAAATACCTTAATAAAATCATGGCAAATATTATATAATATTATATAAAATTTATTTATAAAATATTATTATATTAAGATATAATAATTTTTACCAGCAGATCCTGGAAGGAAGAGTCCTGAAGCAAGTAATTGAAGTACTCTTTTATATGCTTGATTTATTGGCAATGCTTGTCTACTGGGATTATTCATTATAGCATTGTGTGCTAATAAATCTAACATCCAAGGAGATAATGGCTCTAAACCTTCAAATCTACTTCTCAAATCTCTAAGTAATCTTATTAAAACCTTTATACTGGAATGATGAGCATTTTCTTCAAACCATCGGGAATGTCTAATTGCAGCAAGATGACCTTGACATATTTTTACATCTAAATGCTGGTCAGATTCTAATTTTCTTAAATTCTGATGTAAAGTGGTAATCAGTACACGTACTGTAGCTTCATTATTAGCAATATCAAAACCACGCTCTGTATGAGTAAGTCTAAATATTTCTTTGGGATTAACAGTTTTTAAATCATTATTAACTTTTGTACCAAGTGCTTCCACAGCTGTTTTAGTAGGTAATGTTTTGAGGATCACAACAATATCAGCTACATTATGGCCTTTGATCATAGTTCCTTTTTTAAAGCTACCTACTTGTCTCACTTCTTCTAATTGCTAAATAATAATTATCATTAATAAATAAAAAATATAACCTGTACAATTAAAAATTATAGAAGAAATTTATATTTACACAAGCTTCAAAACTGCCTGGAGCAACTATTAAATTGTCAAGTACACTCTGTAATTTAGTTACTAAATTTAAAATAGAAGTTTGTTCCTTTGGTGTAGGACACATGTCTGTATTCTTTTTTAAAAGTGCCATTTGAAAATCTGACTCATCTGGCGCTGGTTTAACACGCGGAAATGCAGCTTCACATAAAGTATAGTCAAATGGATGACGTGGAAGGAATTGTTTTCTAGGAAATCCCATTCCACGTCCCATACCACCACGACCTCCTCTAATCATTCCACCTCGACCACCTCGTACCATATTATGTCTAATCATAGGAAGAAAAGTATTCAAAAGTATTCTAGAAACATTTATTGCAATATATTAAAATATTTTTAAAAATATCAAAGATACTTTCAATAATGAAATCTTTAAAGATCTATAAATGAAACAATAAATTAACTGCAATATAGATTAATGATATGAATTAATAAATTATTTAAAAAGAATTAACCTAAATATTTTCCGATTTTAACACTATTATTAATTAATAATTATCTAAGAATTTTTAAGATAGAAATATAATAAACTTACCAAAAGATAGAAAAATAAATTTAAAGTATTATTTTAACTTTTATCAATAATTTTCATTCACAATACAAATTTTATCAATACAAATTTTAATTAACTGCAAGCAAGTAACATTAGACACATCAAAACATTAATTTAGTAAATCAAGATATTCTACTGAAACATTATATGAATAACATCTTAGCGCCATCTAGGTAAAACAATGTTTAAAAAATAAAAATTTTTATATAATATTTATTGAATAAAATAAATACTATGAAAAAATTATTATTATAATAAAAATATTAAACATTAATTATCTATAAAATATCTGGCAAATTGATAATATGAATGATAATAATCTGCATATATTTCATGCTATATAATAATTATAATTTTCGTTTTTATTTTTTATAAAAAATATACAAAATAATTATTAAGTGTATTTTTAATTATTACAAAATATTATTTTTTTTATATTAATAAATTAACTAATTGATTAAATTTTGTTATACTGTATATAATATATGAAATAAATTTAAAAATTACATATACAAACTTAATCATAATAAAATTCAATTATATATATATATTTTATAACTGTAGATATATTCATTCTAAATTAATAGAAACATCAAACACCAAACCAATAACCATTTTTCATCCCTCATACACCTCATAAATTTACAAGTATAATAATAACACAACTTAAATGGAAAACTAAACTATATACATTTTATTTATCATTCATCTTTGCTTCATTTGGCCAGAATGTCTAAAGTTTCTTTAAAATCAAAAACACTCAGACACCGTAGGAGGTATGTATAAAACATTTTAAAATTTTAAAACACACAAAAATTTTATTTTATACTAACTATATTACTTTTTTCTTAATAGAAAAGTTCCTGAAAAAAAGATGATTATAAAACCATATGGCTTTTGTTGTTCAATTGATGATGTTGATCCATTAACAAAATATGATAAACTAAAATCATATAAATCTTCATTGATATCTCTACATGCAATACATGAAAGTCCAACTTTTAAATTTCGAACAGAATTCACTGATTATATAGATTATGAAAATGCTTTAAAAAAGAAAGCCAAATATATAGATGTTGGAGATTATAAACGTAAAAATTATAAAAGAAATAAACAAAGTTTACAAAATATGAAAGATTTAAAAAGATTATATGAAAAAAAAAGACCATTTAATAAATCTAATGGTTTTGAAGACTTACACGATGAAAAACTTGCATATCTTCTTCAAGGACCAATGCAATGGTATCTAGAAGATGAAATTAATTCAGCAAAAGATATATTTTGGGAACAAAAAATAAGAAAATATAACGAAGAAATGGATAAAAATACTAAAATTGGAAAAAAGAAAAGTAAATTTTAATTTAGTTATTATTTCTAGTTATTATTTCCTAATTAGTACAATAAAACGTAAAAACTTTATAATTTTTTTTTAGTAATGCTTATGATGAAAAAGGAAACAGATATGTATCCTCGATGGTATCAAGATTTTTCTATTAATCAAGTATAATTTTTATTCTTTATCAATTAAATATAATATTAAATCTTGATTAAAATATTTTCAAATTTATTTATATATTAATTTATAGATAAAAAATTTAAGAATGTTACAATGTATAATGCATAAAGATTGTGAAGAAATGGTAACAGGACGTACTCAAAGAACACTTATATCAATTGGAATCGTATCTACATTTTTCACACTAACATCAGATGCTATTAAGAAGTTGCAAGAATTTTCTAATTGTAATGTAATCGAATTTTTAAGAGAAGTTTATAAAATATTAACAGGAAATTATTTTGAAGAAGAAGGATATAGTATGCTGTGTCTATACTTTTAATTTATTTTTTTGTATTTTATATCTTTATATTAATTCTATTTTTAAATTTTAGAAAAATTTTATGATTGTAACGAAAGAATAATCTTATCAGCTATTGCATTTTTAACTTTACCAGAAACTGTTATAGAACTACATAAACGTTTGCCGCCTATAACAATGCCAAAATTACATCCAAAACGTAATATTTTCTTATTAATTTCATAATTTATATAATTTATTTATATTTCTCATTAAATTATTCATATATATTATTAATTTAATATTTTATTATGTATTAATTTATTTTTTTTAATATATTTATAATATTATTATTAATTTATTATTTTATTATATATTATTTATATAGCAACTGCGCCAGTAGTATCAATAAGACAGAAAATGAAATCGCCCTATGAAGAAGAACTTTTTATGGGACCAGATTGGAGTACTTTTTATAATCATTTACAAGATTGGCAAGAACAACGTAAATTAACGCCATTGCCAAACGTAATATTACCTCCTAAAGAATGTATTTTAAATATAAAAAATGTAATAACCAATCCTTATTACAAAGAAATTAAACACAATAAAGTACAAAACAATCCTGAAAATAGTCAATTAATTCATATTAAAAATAATTTTCCCCCTGTTCATATGACAAAAAAAAAAAATGTTTCTAAAACAAAATCAAATTCCCAAAAAGAAAGAAGTATTGTTAAAATTAATAAAAAACAAGAAGATAAAAAAAAGAGTAATATTATTCATGACATAAATTCTGTTGAATTACATCAAGATCAAACTTTTAGAAATGAATCAAACTTTTATAATGAAAATAATGAAGATGAAAAATTAAAAAAAATAATAAATTCTCCAATAAATATGCAAAAAATACAAAATGATTCACAAAAATTTGGTGGCCTTAATGTTCCACCTTTGTATGAAAATACATTATTTGATTTTACAATCAATGGAATTTCTGAGAAACCAGGACCAATAGAATATAAAATATGTGGAATTTTACAACCACCACAACCAAATAAAAAATCTTGGCTTGATGAAAAACATGCACATTATATAATAGCTGGTGCTTCTGATGAACCACCAACTTGTCCTGTAACGTATGAAA